ACATGCAGCAAGAGGAGTTAGAGATGTGCAAACGTCTGCAGGGCTATAACCTTATTGGCATTGCAGAGACATGGCAGGAGAACTCTATGAGTGGAGCATTGGAATGGAAGGATACAGGTTCTTTAGGGAGGACAGGCAGGGGAGACGAGGAGGCAGTGTTGCCCTCTATGTCAATGACCAGCTGGAGTGCATGGAGCTCTGTCCGGGGATGGATGAGGAGCTGTCCGAGAGTTTATGGGTCAGGATTAAAGGGAGGGCAGGGACAGGTGACGTTACAGTGGGGGTCTGCTACAGGCCACCTGACCAGGAAGACAGATCTACAGACAGATAGGAGCAACCTCATGTTCACAAACCCTGGTCCTCAAGGGGGACTTCAAACACCCCGATGTCTGTTGGAGGGACAAAACAGCAGGGCATAAGCAACCCAGGAAGTTCCTGGAATGCACTGATGACAACTTCCTTTTCCAAGTGACAGAGGAGTGTCGTGGTTTAGGAATGGTACTCCCCAGTTCAGTACCCCCACTGAGACTCTCCCAAACCAGAGACCACTCACTCACTCACTCCCCCCTTCCCCCCCCACTTCCTGCTCTGGCAGGATGGAGTTGAGAATTGGAGGAACAAAAGGTGAAAATGTGGGTTGAGATAAGAATAATTTACTGGAAACAGCAATGAGATAAGAAAACTAACAGTAACAGTAATAATGTTAATAACAAAAGGTATAAAACAAAGAAACTATTTACACAGAAAACCACTACAAATACTCTTTCCCAACCACATTTTTCTCCCCACTGGGAAAGAACACCCTTCCTCTTGGAAGCAAGAGTGAGTCCCCTTCCCCCACCCCGGCCAATGACGTGAGGTGGTATAGAATAACATCCAGGTCCTAGTCACTCGCCCTCCCAGCTACTGCAAAAAATTAACCCTGTCCTGGCCAGAACCAGGACATTATCCACCCCTTATTCTATACCATCTACATCATGCCCAGATCCTACACCTTTCCACTATATACATGCATATATAAATATATATATATTTACACAAGCACATGTATCATTTCCATAGTCAGTGACCGTCCCTTCAAGATGTCTTTTGAGTTCATTTAGTCCATGACTGTGGGTTCTATCCATCCTAAATGTCTTCCAGGGCAGGAGAGCTGGCGTGCTGTCAGTTGGTTGCAAACTGCATCAGGAACTCATGTCTGGTGTATCTGGAGCAGTCCATCCTCATTGTCCATGGTAGTTATGACATACAGTGGCACTGTCATTCAGCAGCCAATATCATACAATTTAACATTACAGACCGTTCTCACAGAAAAATCAAATCCCCTTGAAGTACACATTGTGTTTCCCAGTTCCTCTGCAGTACCCACCAAGCGCACTCAGGTCCTTGAGCATAAACAATCCCACGGATGGGTTTGCCCTTACTTGAGACAGGACTAATCCAAACTGTCTTCCCTAACACATTCCTCCTATGCACCACGGGGACTTTATCCCCTTCTATGGTACATGGAGGTCCTGATTGGGCAGGGCTAGCTCAATTGGTGGAGCCTCTAGTGTTAACTAACCAGGTGGCCTTTGCTAAATGTAGCTCCCAATGTTTGAAGGTCCCACCACCCATTGCATCAGTGGCATGATGTGTGAAGGGGACTTTCCCTTTGAACATCCAGACCAGTAGTGGCAGACGGGGTGCCAGGCCAAGCTGTGCTTTGGTACCAATCACTCTGAAAGCGGCTTGAACCCCTTCATAAGCTGCGAGTATGCCTTTTTCAGTTGGGGTGTAACAGGCCTCGGATCCTATGTATCCCGAACTCCAGAACCTCAAGGGTCATCCTCAAGAGAGGATTTACAATCTGACTGCAATCTGGACTATGCAACCTCCAAAAACCCACAGTGCCTAGGAAAGCCTATGTTTCCTTCTTGCTGGTTGGTGGGGACATAGCTGCTATTTTCTTGACCATGTCCATTGGAATTCGACAATGTCCATTGATGCCTTAAGAACCCTTTAGTTTTTTTGACTTTGCTAATTTTTATAAGCTTTATATGTTATTATAGTAGAAGTAGATTTTAGAAGCAACTGTATTGTATTCCTCACCCTTTAGCACCCTTTAGTTTACACATTCCTCAACCCTCTTACCCCATTCCATGCACCCCATATCAATCCTACCCCTGAATTCAGTAGAAATGTTTAGTCTCTTGTCAAGGCAAGGCCTATGCTGTTTGGAGAACACTCATATCTTGGCCTGAACAACAGAACAGAGTCAAGAACTAGGTGACCGTGTACCCTTTGTGCTCTGAGGATGATGAGAATGATGAAGTAGGTGGTTCCAAAAAGTCCCCAGACCCAATTCTAAGGGGATGGGCCTGAGGTGGACCAGAGCAAAGGCTACGGGGTGGAAACACTTGGGATTGGACAGATATTATTATAAAATGTAACATCTCAGGCATAACTGGTGCGTCTTGTAACATCTATGCCTTGGCACAATTGAACCCTTTCCTTATCTCACCCTCAATTAACTGCTCCTGAGTTTTTCTTAGTACCAGCTGAGCTGGCATCACCATCTTGCCATTTTACCCCTAAAACTTGAATTCCCTGTGCAGGTCCATGGACCTTACTTCGCTTTATGGCGAAACCAGCCTTTAGGAGAATCTGGATTATCTTCTCCCCTTTCTCAAAAGCTTCCTCTGCTGTGTTGCCTCACATGATCCTGTCATCAGTGTACTGCAAATGTTCTGAAGCCTCACCCTTTTCCAGTGCAGCTTGGATCAGTCCATGGCAAATAGTGGGGCTGTTTCCACCCCTGAGGCAGTCGATTCCAGGTGTATTGGATGCCTCTCCAGGTGAAAGCAAACTGTGGCCTGTACTCTTCTGCCAAAGGAATGGAGAAAAATGCATTAGCAATGTCAATGGTGGCACCACTTTGCTACCTTGGACTCCAGTTTGTACTGAAGTTCCAGCATGTCCGACACAGCAGCACTCAGGGGTGGTGTGACTTCGTTCAGGCCACATGTAGGAGTAGGTACCCTATCAGAAGAATTTGTAACAAGGAGTTAGGACTTGTTTTCGCTTAGGAAGTCTTTCCTGTCTAAGAGTACTTTTCTCAAAAATAGTTGGATGTTTTTCTTTCCCTTCTTCTTTTGCATTCCATAGAAAAGCTGCAGTCTCTCTCTGGTCTGAGGAGAGATAAACCCTCACAGTGTTACAGGCTGTGCCAGCGGTGAACCTGGCAGGGGAGGCCAGAGAAGATAAGAAGCCTGGAAGAGATCAGATGTGACTTTCTCAGACCCAGCACTTTCACAGCTGGTGCAGATTTTCCTTTGTAAGTTTTTAGTGTTCTAGCCTTCGAAATAAAGCTTTTTGGATTCTTTCCACTGCCTTGGCATTTTTGGGCGATACCTGCATGTATCTTACCTTACACCATGATAGTCTACTGTCAGTCTCCACTCTTCATTGGACTTATGCACTAGCCATACTGGACTATTAAAGCGTGAGTGAGTCTTGCTGACCACTTCCTGGCTCCCCAGTTCATGAATCATCTCACAGATGGAGGTCACAGAGTCACGGTTGGTGTGGTATTGTTGACAGTGCACTGTTGTGGTAGCAATTGGTACCTGTTATTCTTCGACCCTCAGCAGTCCCACAGCAGAAGGGTCCTCTGAGAGACCAGGCAAAGCATTCAGCTGTCTAATTTCCTCTGTCTCCACAGCAGATATCCCAAAAGCCCAACGATGCCCTTTTGGGTCCTTGAAATACCCTCTCCTGAGGTAATCTATGCCAAGAATGCATGGGGCCTCTGGGCCAGTCGCAATGGGGTGTTTTTGCCATTCATTCCCAGTCAAACTCCCTTCAGCTTCCAGTACAGCCAGCTTTTGGGATCCCCCTGTCACCTCAGAAATACAGAGATGGATTCTGCCCCCACATATCTTGATGGCATCATTGTGCGCCGATGTCAACTAAAGCCTTATACTCTTGTGAGTTTGATGTACCAGGCCATTGGATCCACACAGTCCAATAGATCTGATTGTCCCTTTCCTCCACCTGGCTGGAGGCAGGACACCTCTAGTCCTGGTCATAGTACTCGTTGCTCACTTCTTGTAAACATGACCTGGAGGTCCCTTCAAGAGGATTGGAAGTAACATCAGCCGTTCTATTCTGTCTGAAGATATGCCCACTGGAAACTGGAGTGGCATTTATCCTTGAAGAATTTCCTGCAGTGGTTGTTTTTCCCTGTCAACTCATGTACCCATGCTGCTAGGGCAGAGGTGGGTTTTCCATTCCCCCTCCTCATGTCCTCTCTGTCATCATCATCATGGCCAGTCTTCGTGAATGAAGATTTGGGAAAGGTCGTTACCTTTCGAGCCTGTGCAGTGGATTTTTTAGGTGAGACACAGTGTGTGCTGAACTGAGCCTACCCTTTAATCCTAAGGTTCATCTGCCAGGGCCAAGCGAGCTTGGACAGTGGCAGTGAGGTCCTCTCTGTGGTCACATGGGTTAAACCACAGTTTACCTCATGCTGTGTCCCCTCACTCTCGAGCAGGGAGGCACTTGCTCCTAATAGCAGAGACTCTGGTCCATACTCGCGGGGCATGGGACACTTCTTTAAGTTGCTGGTACTCCTCTTTAAATTGCTGGAGATCCTTGGACAGACAAAACACAGGCCCATAGCAAGGAGAGATACTTTCTTCATATAGCTGGAGTTTGGTAACCAAATTATCCATGCTTTGTTCTCCTTCCATGACATCACTGCCAATAAGTTGGTGTACAGTGATGGCATGCTCCATAGGAACTTCCGCCACATGGTTTGTGTACACTGGATTTCATCTGGATTTATAGGGGATTGCTCATTATTTGAATCCTTATGGAGTACCTCCAGCACAGCTCATTCTCGCAGGTACTGGATACCTTGCTCCATGGTGTTCCACTTGGTGCACTAATAGATCATCCTTGAGAGAATACCTTTCCCTCACACTTGACAGGAGCCGCCTCCAGAGACTGAGAGTTTCTGTCCTCTTCCCTTGTCAATGCCCACATCCTGGGACAGGGATCCCAGTTGCTTGGCTTCCCTACCATCTAGTTTCACATTGTGGGATACGATATCCCAGCATCAGAGCAGCCAGGTCACCAGGGCCTCACCCAACTGACGACTGAAATCTTTTTACATATCTTGCAGCTCACCCAGGGATAGGGATTGGGTGATTATCTCTGACCCTGCCTCTTCCTCCTGTTCTGAGGGTCCTGCTTCCTCTTCATCCCTCACTAAGCAAACTGATTTGGCCTTGGATTTCTTCTTCTGTATAGGGGCGATTGCTACTGGCACAGGTTGTTCCTCTGGTTCAGCTGCAGTTTGAGTGGCCACAGTGCCTGTTGGTTTGCTTTCCTCCTCCTCCCCCTGAGGGTGCTTGTATCGGGGCGAAGTTGGGATGTTATTTTTTGGTCTGTGTTTGGCCCTAGCCACCTGCAAAAGTTTATGTTTTCTCCTGCCAAGTCTGCTGATAAAGCAGTGAACTTGGCCTTGGAGAGAGAACTTCTGTGTAAACTGTTTTAATTGGTCTGTTGTGATTGGTCCATTGCCCTTCAAGGGCGGTTGGAGGACAAAGTGAAGATGAAGGTGCTGAAGGCCATCCCCCAGACTCAATTGGAAAGACCCCCTCCAATTCACTGCGCCTGCGTCAGGGGATTTCCAAGGTGCTCACGCATGCGCAGGAGGGGTGCACTTACATAACAGAAGGGGTGGGATTGAGATCCCCTGACGGGGCGGTACTGGCCATGCCTCCCCGGGGCAGGTGCTCTCAATAAACTTTAAAAAGGCAAACTGGTGTCTCGGAGGGAGTGGTCGGCTCTTCACGATGGATCAAGATGCTTTTAGCGGGGACGCCTGCTGCACGTGGGAGCCTGCCACCCCTCCGGAACACGCAGCTGCCGTAGAGAGACTTCATTACTGGTTAGGATGGGTAAGATTATCTTATAGGTGACACCTGGGTGAGTATGGGGTGTCGAGCCTCCTTCCTAGGGTCTTTTGTGCACTTTGTCCTCCGGCCTAATTCTTTTCCCTCGGGCGCCCGTTTTTTCCCCTTTTTCTCTGTTGACCACCTTTTCCCTAATAAATAGCTATTTTTTACCAACTAGCAACAGTGTTTGGTTTATTCACGTACCAGAATCCCTTGAACCTGTTTTTTCCTTCTGGTTTTTCCACCCTTCCCTGTTACAGTGCTGTTTAGTGACAAGCAGTGTCCAATAAATAGTAGCCAGGGCCCAGCACATTGCATAAGTTCACGCCTCTCTGGAACAGCCACAGCATTTTTCCTTCACATATTTTATTACTTTAACAGGATCCTGTATCTGTTCAGGGGTGAATTTCCAAACCATTGCAACAGAATAGTCCTCCAAATACTAGCTCATGTCCTCCCACATTCCATGCCACTCATGACTATCCATCCTTGGGGCAGATCTCTGAATTATCTCCCTAGAAATCTCTTTCTTGACTCTAAACATGGTGTGGACCACACTGAGGAGACCTGGCAGACTTAGCAACAAGAACATGCTTTCCTTAACATCCAGGGAAAATTTTAAATCCTCAAAAGCTGTTGTAACAGGCCTGAAGGAGGAAAAGAGTGTGAAATGCTGGGGAAAATCATCCTCCCCTGTTCCCCCCACAGACTGGGTATGGTTATTAATGGAATCCCAGAGGTAGTGCCCTAGACAAGGGCAGGACAGCAACACTGAATACGCATCCCAAATGACCATCATTGCCTTTGATGTTATCATGTCATAAACTGATATCCCACAGTACAGCAGCAAAGTCATCCTGATCCCTCTCTCTGCTCTGAAAAATATCATCACAAGGAGCACAGTTCATATACGGAAACGTATACCTGTTAAGGTACCACACCCACAGAACAGACCAAGCAACATTGTGATCAGTGGCTCCATACCTAATACAACAAATGCTTAGATCAAATTTGTTTCCAACCCACTCTGGGCAGATCTGTTGTTTTATCAACACTTTGTGCCTCACATTGAGCATCAATTAAGGCTGTGGTGGTTTAGGAGTGGTACTCCCCTATTTAGTGCCCCCATCAAGATTCTCCCAAACCAGACAGCTCTTTTGCTCCCCCCCTTTTTGCCTCCCCCTCCCTGCTGCACCAGATTGGAGAGGAGAATTGGAGGAACAAAAGGCAAAGATCATGGATTGAGATAACAATTTACTGAAGACAGCAATGAGATAAGAAAAACGAACAGTAACAGCAACAATATTAATAACAAAAGGTATAAAACAAAGAAACTATTTACACAGAATACCATGACAAATGACCGGCTCTTCCTGACTTTGTTTTTCTCCTGACCAGAAAAGGACACCATTGTGGGGGACTTCAGCGGGACCGAGCCCCTGAGATGGAATGAGAGAGAGTGGCTGAGAATGGAGGCCCTGGTCCTGACAATGTACTGATGCATCCTGAGAGAGCAGAGGAGCAGCAGGAGAAGAGCTGTCCCGTGGGAACAGGGAACACTGTCTCATGAGAACGAGGACTTGTTTTGTACAGTGACTGAGAAAAATATAAACATCAAAGGAAAACAGGGACAGGTGCACAGAAATGTTGTGAGAAAGTAGGACTGAGAAAGTCCAGAGAAAGTCCATCTAAAATCTACCTATTAGTTGTGAGAATTGTAGTTTGTGTATGTAAACTGACCTATCTGCATCTTATACATGTACCAAAAGAGCTGTATTTAAGAGGCTGTAAAGTGCAACTCGTGGCTGCTGCTACTTCCTTTTTTCTTTTCCAATAAACTTTCTTGCTGAATATTACATGTCGTAGTCCGTCCCAACAACGACATTTGGTGACCCTGACGTGATGCTGCGTCTTCGTAACTTTTGGAAGGCAGAGAAGCCGATAAGGGCGGCAGGGATGTTTTACCGTGGGGACGGAGCTTGGTGTAGCATGAGAGCAGTGGAGAAGCTGCCAGGCCAGCCAGACAAGACACCTGGACAGGTGAACCACTGAGAACAAGTCTATCCTGCTTAAAAAAGAGAAAAATTAGATGTGATATATAAATAATCATGATTCGTGAAACAAATGGGTGATTACATCAAAATAAAACAAACTGATTGTAAAACTTAATTACACCCCCATAAAGAAATAAAACAGACCCTCACAAGGTCAAGAGACCTAAAACCTCCTTACTATCCTAAGAATGAAATATAGTAGAACTTTAAATCTTTAGGCACCTGTTCGTCCAAGAATACATGAATTATGACTGGTTGTAGAGATAACCCTTTTAGCTTTAGCTGTAAGAAAACCCATATATTAAATACTTAGAAAAACCCTGTAGAATGTATATATATATGATATAATTAATATGCATGAAGTAGCTAAGATAAATACTAAATGTACCCTTGTGGTGGTTTGGGCTAGGCCTTCCTTGGTGACCAGTTTGTAACCAAGGAAGAGTCCAGATTTACCCAGTATTCCCTACGATTTTTACGTAAACCAGATTATAAGAAGAAAAGAGGAGAGGCCTTTGCCCTCTTTCCTTCCGGCAGCTTGGAGGTGCAGGTTCCCTGCTGTTGAGTCTGCCGTGTTGGGGAGCGAGGCCTGGTAAGGCCTTGTCGACCTTGGGAGGCGGAGGTTGCTGGCGATCGTCCCGGAGCGACTCTCGGTTGTCCCAAGGAGAGTGGTGGGATATTTTCTTTGCTAACCCTTTAGTTACTAGATCTCGAGCTACTAATTGGGATATATATATATATATATATATTATTTTGGTTTTGTTCCCTTTCCCTTCCCCCTTCCCCTTCCCTTGTGAAATTGTATATATTTTAAATTGTATATATATTTCAATTGTAACATAAGTGTAAATATATTTATATATATCACTTTAGCTGTCTCTCTCGTTTCGGGTTTTCTTAGTTAGTTGTTTTTCTCCCTCTTCTCCCTGAGGTTTGGGGGGGGAGGGGACTTCTGGTGGTAAGGTTTGGAGACTTGGCAGGGAGTCAGCTTCAAACCATATCACCTTATTTGGTGTTTCTGCCCGGTTTATCTCCGGTTATCTTTATTTGTTTTGGTTTTGCCACGGTTGTTTTGGAACAAGTCTGGGAAGGGAGCCAAATTGGTGCAAACACTGCCCATTGTTTGGGAACACTACCGGAAGAGTTGCCAAGAACCTATTGTTTATATAAATATACCTTTGTTTGGGAACAAAGAGAGAAAAATATATAAACATGGCCTTTTTATTCATTTTCTTGGTTATTTTGGCCATTTTTATATATGCTGCTGGGTATCCGGTGAGAACTAACCCAAAAGGTATCTACCAATATTTGCCTTTCCTTAATTATGACATCAAAGGCCTAGTGGCTGAGGTCCCTGGAATCAAAATTGGCCCCAATCCTTACATAAATTGTTTGGCAACAGTTATACTATTCCTAAAAACCATGGAAGTGGTGTTTAATATTGGAAAGGTGGTGCGGTACTGCTTTTCTTGTTGCAGGAAATGCCAAAACTCAAAGGGATTTGCTGGAACTTTGGGAAGGGCCTTGAGAAAACCAGTCCCTGGATGGCAAGGAATCTGGGTCAACTTTGGTAAATTGGTAGGGCGTGTGACACCTCCCATTAGTTGGGATTTCACACCAGAGCAGGTGTTTGATCCTGATGAGGTGGCACGTCGTCTAACAGAAGGGTGTTTATCTTACAAGGACCCAAATATGCAGTTTTTTGCTTTGTATTGGGGCCTGGCGAGTGCCTATCGAGCTGCTGTGGACTATGCTCGGAAGACTAAGGCTGAGACGGAAACTCAAACCCTGCCACCTGAGACCAATGCCACCTCTACTACACGCACTGAAAGCGGAACCCAGACTACACCACCTGAGATACCTCTCGCCCCTGTAGTGAAAAGGAAGTCATGGGTACCAGTGCCCAAAACTTTAAACCTACGACTAGATGGAGAGCAAAACAAGTCAGAAGATAACGGAGAGGGGACTGATACTGATGCCAGTGCCAAAACTCCACCTCCACGAGCAGCACCACCCCCAAAAATGGAAACTACAGAGTTGCGGTCAATGACCCCATCAGAACTCCAGGACTTACAAAAAGATTACACTCGTCGGCCTGGTGAGCGAATTCTATCGTGGTTGCTCCGATGCTGAGACCGTGGGGCTAGAGGTCACATATTGTCAACTGCTGAAGTAGAACAATTAGCATCCATCTCCGGAGACCGTGAACTTGATCGCTTAATTGCAGAGGAGAAACCCGATCTCAGTCTTTGGGTGCGACTTGTCTTAAGTGTGAGACAAAGGTTTCCATTTAAAGACTATTTACCATGCCCCATGAGGAGGTGGACCAAGATAGAAGACGCCATCCAGTACCTAAGAGAATTGGCATTGCTGGAACTTATGTATGATGACCCTCAATACGATCCCGTCACTGATGACCCAGAGGTTATCGCTTGCACAATGCCCATGTGGAAGAAGATAATCCAGGGTGCTCCTGCATCTTATGTCCATATCTTGGCAGGAGTAATGCTTCCAAACATGCCAGAAACGCCTGTGAGCATGCTGTGTACGGTTCTGCGACATCTAAAAGAAACAGTAGAATCTAGGAATGAGTTTTCTAGAGACTATTCTGATTCTGGTTACAGACGAAGACCTGAGAGAGATGAGCCTTACGGGCGCTCTGATTATGATGATGACTACAGAGACCACAGGGACAGACGCTACAGAGACAGATCAGCAGATCGGTCTCGACCACGATCTCGATCTTGGTCCCGGTCCCGCTCACGATCTCCTTCCGTCACACGCAGAAGGAGCGAAAACCCTAAGCGTAGATCTAAGCGCAGTGAACTGTGGTCCTATCTGCGCCCATGGAGAAAACATGAGGAAGTGGGATGGTGAACCTACTTCCAGACTTGAGGCCAGAGTGAGAGAACTAAAACGCAAGGAAACCGATAAGAAAGTTGTCTATGTTGTAGATGCAGATTTCTTTGAAAGAGAACTGAGATTCCCCAGATGCAGGGGGTCTGAAGTCCGTTTCCAGGATGACAAGAAAGCCTCTGAAAAGCCGAAGCAAAGATCTGATGGTGAATGCTCCGACCAGAACCAATAGAGGGACCCTGCCTTCTGCCAGGAGAAGGAGAGGGATGAGAAAGATAACAGAGTTTACTGGACTGTGTGGGTTCGATGGCCTGGCACATCGGATCCTCAGAGATACCAAGCTTTAATAGATACTGGCACACAGTGTACGTTAATGCCCTCAGGACATATGAGCACAGAGACTGTTTCAATTTCTGGAGTGACAGGAGGGTCTCAACAGCTGTCAGTGGTAGAAGCTGAAATAAGCCTGACAGGAGACCAATGGGAAAAACATTCCATTGTGACAGGGCCAGAAGCCCCTTGCATTCTTGGCATGGATTACCTCAGGAGAGGATACTTCAAAGACCCGAAGAGATACCGATGGGCTTTTGGTATAGCCGCAGTGACTGAAGAAGAATCCAAACAGTTATCTGCCCTGCCCGACCTCTCAGAAGATCCTTCTGTTGTAAGATTACTGCAAGTTGAGGACCAGTGAGTGCCAACAGCCACTAAGACAGTGCATAGGCGACAGTACCGGACGAATCGAGACGCTGTGATCCCCATCCATAAGATGATCCGCAAGTTGGAAAGCCAAGGGGTGGTTAGTAGAACACACTCACCCTTCAATAGCCCCATTTGGCCTGTACGTAAGTCAGATGGCAAATGGAGACTGACAGTGGACTATCGTGGCTTGAATGAAGTCACGCCACCATTGAGTGCTGCTGTACCAGACATGTTGGAGCTCCAATACGAGCTGGAGTCCAAGACAGCGAAGTGGTATGCTACCATCGACATCGCCAATGCATTTTTCTCCATTCCCCTAGCAGCAGAGTGCAGGTCGCAGTTTGCTTTCACATGGAGAGGTGTGCAGTACACGTGGAACCGACTGCCCCAGGGGTGGAAACACAGTCCAACAATCTGCCATGGACTAATTCAGGCCACACTGGAGAAGGGCAAGGCCCCAGTACATTGTTGACATTATTGTATGGGGGGACACAGCAGAAGAAGTTTTCAAGAAAGGAGAGGAAATCATCCAGATTCTCCTTGATGCCAGTTTCGCCATTAAGAAGAATAAGGTCAAGGGACCTGCCAGAGAGATCCAATTTCTAGGGGTGAAATGGCAAGATGGACGACGTCAGATACCAACAGATGTCATCAATAAGATTGTAGCCATGACTCCACCGACCAACAAGAAGGAGACGCAAGCTTTCCTGGGGGCCATAAGTTTCTGGAGAATGCACATCCCTAGGTATAGCCAGATTGTGAGCCCTAGAAACTCGAGACTTTATCACAATTGGTGACCCTGACGTGATGTTCTCCGAGCCCTGCTGGGTTAATTAGTACTCGAAACAGGGGGGCCCCCGCTGAATTCAGTGGCCTGTTTTGGGTCTAATTTTCCACAGGACTGGAGTAACACGTTATATGGTTATATGGTAAAAGCAAGGATTGCTCCCAGATTGCTGCAACAAAAAGGGCCCATAGTTCTTGTGCACGAAGACCCAGGGAAGAACAACGGACTGTGAGTATTCCCTGGTTGGGCGGGTAAGAGGTCAGAGTGGATGAGTGGATGAGACGCAGCTTTGCTGCGAAGCGATTGCGGTAGCCCTTCTAACTGCATTTCTGTCTCCGTGCGAACGGAACAGCCAGTGACCGGGCGAAGCGAGAGAATTGGTGATTGGACCTCTGGGGTCGGTGGAAAAGTCTTAAGGAGAGACCTTTGTGTCAGTGGGGAGAGTTTAGAAGGGATCCCAGAGAGTCGGTGGAGAGATTCTAGAAGGGACCTCGGAAAACTATGGGGCAAGGATTCAGTAAGAATGGTAGCCTCAAGGGAAAAGGGAGCAAGCAGGCATTGCCCAAGCAGGCATTGCTGGATATTACCCCTACCAGTCCTTTGGGGGTAATGATATCAAATTGGGAAGATATTGAGAATATTAGTAAGTTAACCCAAGAAAGACTAAAGAAAAATTTACAGCAATATTTAGGCATTAGTCCTGATACACCAGCTGGCCTAATATTGTTGAAAGTCCACTTTATAAATTATGCCTGTAGTGATATTAAAAGAGAACTAAAGAAATTAGATGGATGGGAGAAAGGGGAGCTCAAAGACTTACTGAGAGAAGCCCAAAAAGTATATATAAGCAGACCCCAACAAATTGTTTCAAGAGTCCAGGCAAGAAAATGTTTTTATTGTAAAAGAAAAGGTCATCTAAGAAGAAATTGTCTGAAAAGACAGAGAGACTTGAAACTATTTGAATAAAATAAAGTATAGATTAAAAGTGTCAAGAGCTCTATTTTCCAAGAATTACACACTGTAACCAGCTCTTGACAAAACTGAATTGAAACCTCAAGGTGAAAAATATAAATTCATAGTAAAGACTGAATCTAATCGAAAAGATATAACCAAAGTTCCCCAAAATTATAAAGCCAGTAAAACTACAATCAAAATGATTAGAACAAAGAAAAAATTCACAATACCTCTCGAAAAACAAGTTTAAATTTAGCAGTTTATTTCAAGTACTGGAGAGAACGACTAGACCTTCCCTTTTGCACTACCAACCCACGCAAAACACACTGGGATCAGCCCAGCAACCTGTTCGAGCAGTGCCCCAAACCCTATGATAAACAGATCTCTGTAGGGAGAGAGTTCACACTGCCAGTGCCCCCCGCGCTCACCAACGCCAGACCCCTCCTCAGCCCGGCTGCCGGCAGCCTGCCCGTGCTGAGTCATCTACCTTGCCCTGGCACACGAACTGGGGGCACTGTGTGCCATCGCAGAGTCGGCGTCCCCTCCCGACACACACCCGGGAGACACTGCAGAGTGAACTGTCAGCTTCGGTTCTTGGCTGCTGCTTCTCTGTCTTCCCCGAGCGGGAGGAGGGGGGAAGGGGGGAAACTGAAGAGGTGTCCTGCAGGAGCAGGACGAGAGAGTCTATAACTTTAATTTTGGTGACTTGAGAAGAGGAAAGTTATTTCTGTAATATATTTTGTCCTTTAGAACAACAAACACCAGGTCCTAAAAGTATGTATATGTATGCAGTTGAATGTCTTCACCCATATTTGCAGCTAAATTTAGAGAAAGTTTTGAACAGTGATAAAGAGAAAGGAGGAGGAAGAGAGAAAGTGATTGATTTATGCTGTGTTGGAAGCCCTGCTGTAGTAGGTCTGTGGTTGTGTTTGTCAATGTAGTAAGAGAAAGCATGTGAGTTTTTTACTGTTAAAAATTTGATTTTAGAGGAGCTGGTATGTGTTCGCAAGTGATAAAATAGATTCTTTTGCTTACCTGTGTCTCAAGTTTAGCACTTTTAGAGATCTTCACCCATTAAACAAAATAACATGAGAAAGGGGGGGCTGTAGTGAAATAAGAAGGGGAAATAAGAAGGGGAACCACTGTTTTACTCTTGATATGGGTTGGACATTAACTGTTTATGAAGAAGTTCATTTCAGCAGACAGACCTGGGAACCAAGCAAAGACACCAAAACTCAGACTGGAGGTGGTATGGATGAAAAAGATTTTTGTGCGAAAATGAACAAATACCAATCTCCAAAAAGTGATGCATATACAAAATTGAAGTGCAATTTTGAATAATACTGTCAGAACACTAGATAATACCATGACTATTATATTTGTCTTTTGTTATCTTCTGATTTGTAAATATTCTGTCCTGGCAGTTTAACAACCTTTTATACTTCCTGATTACTACAGCTATCCTGGGGAAAGGGAGCAGGGAGAGAATTTATTAACCCCTTTGTACCCGGGGGTGGGGGAAAGGGGGGCTAGACCGAATCCTGAGGGGCTGTGCTGAATCCTAAAAGGCTGTAAATAGCCCCAAGATCCCCAATACAAAAAGGCTAAAAGAACAAAAATCAGGAAGCATAATTCTAATCAATACAAGAGCTGTATTTTAAGTATTAATCAAACTTTAGTACCCACTGTTGTAAGTTTTGTGTCGATAAGGCGAACCATGGGTCAAACAGAAAAAGCTCATTTCTTGAAACCTTTAAAATACAAATTAGGAAAGCAATTTGAAATCCATAGATTCTTATACATGCCAAACTCACCAGTTTGTTTACTGGGAAGAGACTTACTAGAGCCATTGAGAGCTGAAATTAAATTTGAACAGAACAAAATAAAATTCAAAGTAAAAAGGAGCAATTGATTGAGATTTTAAATCTTGCCCTAATAGAGACTCAAAGTTCAAGCAGCATACACGAAGAAGTAACGGATCAAAGTATGAGCTTCGAAAACTTCAAGAAGAGCAAAACTAACATTGTCAATTGAAGTAAAAGTTAAATTAGGGGCACAGCCAATAAAGATTAAACAATATCCCCTAAAATAGAGAATCAGGAAAGGATTCAACACAATATAGAAAATGAGTTATATAAACATGAGTTATTAAAAATATATAAATCAAAATATAATACTCCCATCTTACCAGTAAAGGAAGTATAAAATAGTGCAAGATCTTAGAGCAATAAATGAGATGGCTGGGGGCTTGCACCCCATAGTGGCAGATCCACACTGCTGACTAAATTGACACCAGAGCTAAAATAGTTTGCTGTCCTGGATCTGGAGGATGCTTTCTTCTGCCTGCCCTGGAGCCCTGAAAGTTAATCACTGTTCGCTTTTGAATGAGAAAATCCTCGCACGACAAAGAAAATCCAAAATAATATGTATTGAATGAACTGTTAACATACTAAACTGTCTCAGATTGGTTGAGTACTAAGAGCTGTGCAGTAGGTCTCCTACCTCAATTGCAAAGTTGCTGCAGGACAACGAACCCTAAAAACAGCAAGAAAGAAGCTGTCTGCCGGACTCCTCAGCCACAGAAGGAAGAGCTCCAAACATTGCTCAGAGGGACCGAATAATGTCGTTTGTAGATCTACAGTTATGGACTTCTGGTGGAGCCCCTGTGTGAACTCATAAGAGTGAGTCCAACATACTCACTTGGAGTAAAGAAACTGATAAAGCTTTTCATAAACTAAAACAAAACTGATGAGGACTCCAGTCCTTGATTTAAATCATTGCCTTTCACCTCAGCGCTTTCTGAAATACCAAACCACACTGATTGATCAAAATAATCAATCCAGCTTTTTCTTCAAGAAACCACCAAAAATACAGTTGCACATGACTGCTTAGAGACAATAAGAGCAACGTACTCAAACCGACCAGACTTGAAAGAAGAACCCCTGAAAGATGCTAAAAACTTCTGGTTCACAGAAAAAATTTTGTCTAGAAAAGAGGACATAAAGCTAGATATGCAATAACCACGATAAATGAAGTAATAAAGGCAAGAGCCCTCCTTGTCAATACCTTAACTCGAAAAAACAGATTATAACACTTCAGTTGCCAGAAAAGTTGCTATTATGCATTGAAAGGCTCACCAAAAAAGAGTGTTACTGGCCTTGAAAGAAGAAATGCCATGAATGATCGGAGGCAAAAAGGGCAGTAAAAGCAGAAGAAAGCAAAATCCAGTATTTGATCCCTGACGGTAAAATTCAAATTCAGTAGTCAAAGACAGAGCCTAGATACTCTAAAGAAGACTGAAAGTTAATCCAGAATTTAAGAGGAAAAATAGAATAAAAACAAATGAGCCAAGACACCACAGGGTAAGTTAGTAATATCCTCTTCTATTTTATGAACACTTATCATAACAGAACACAAGAAAACACATTAGGAGCAGAAGCTCTGTACAAATATCTAAGTCAAAATATAGTAACACAAAATCTCTATACCACTGTGAGATAGGAGATGCATAACAAAATTCAACTAAGACAAATAGAAAAATAATTATCCAAGACAGAAATAGCAAATCGATTTTTAGAACTACCCAGGAAAAGGGAGGTATAGATATTTGCTTGTTCTCACTGACACTTTTTCAGGTTGACCTGAGGCATATCCTTGTCAAACTAATGTAGCCAGAAACATGATAAAAGTACTATTAAAAATTATATTGTACATTTATAAAAGCAATTTAAAAATGTTAAAGAGCTAATCCTCAAAACAAGCTTGTAACCTCGAGAGGCCAATTCATAATGTTGTACCTAGAGATTATATATGTAAGATCTTTTACAGGTGAACCCCTGGAGCCAAAGTGAAAAATCTATATCAAGTGATGCTAATTACACAAACTGCAATCAAAATTAAAAAAAAGGCAACTTCCTCAAATACATTACACCAAAGTCAAGAAAACGCCAAGATCTGTGTAGACAACATCACCAACAGAAAATTTAAAATAAAATTAAGACATAAACTGACGAATGGAAACTTAAAGACATTTTTGAAACTTTTGACTCTATTACTGTATACAATAACTAAGACAAAATATACAAAGTTAACATAAAAATCAAAAAGTCATGAATCAATAAGTTAATAATAAAAAAGGGGAGGGAATTGTGATATATAAATAATCGTGATTGGTGAAACAAATGGGTGATTACATCAAAATAAAACAAACTGATTGTAAAACTTAATTACACCCCCATAAAGAAATAAAACAGACCCTCACAAGGTCAAGAGGCCTAAAACCTCCTTACTATCCTAAGAATGAAATATAGTAGAACTTTAAATCTTTAGGCACCTGTTCGTCCAAGAATACATGAATTATGACTGGTTGTAGAGATAACCCTTTTAGCTTTAGCTGTAAGAAAACCCATATATTAAATACTTAGCAAAAACCTGTAGAATGTATATGTATATGATATAATTAATATGCATGAAGTAGCTAAGATAAATACTAAATGTACCCTGTAGTAAGGGTGTGCAGATTTGGGAAACTGGTCCCATTTCTGTCACCCAGCCGGCTGCTTGCTTTTACCATATAATAAACTATTATTCGAAACTTATAGAAACTCGAGACTTTGTTTATCACATTAGACGAACTGACTTTGCGACAGATGCTGCTTTCGTGTATGAGCCAGGGATGTGAAGCGAACGCTGTAACTGCCTTTACTATCTCTACTTGGAAAGAACTTAGTGATAAGCTCTTTATTGCTGCCTCTAAGGGAGAAAAAGTTGCTGCTTCCCTCTTTACAACTTGGCGATTGTTATCTGGAACAGTAAAAGACATTAAAGCAGAGTCTGAGGACATTAGAATGCTACTAGATACCATCATACGGAGAAATCGTGCAAAAAGGGAGTCGAGCGGAGTTGAAGGGAGCCGGAGCGGGACCAGAGATCACGGAGCGGGGCCGGGGACAACCGAGCGGCCCCGCCAAAATGAACACGGTGCTAGCGTCTCGGCAGTGCATATCCAGGACAATCGGAGACGGCGGCTGCGGCGTGAAAGTACTCCTGATGGACCGGGGATGAACTTTACGAACACTGTGACTGAGTTCCACCTTAAGAAACTTCTTGCTTTTTATCTGAACTGTGCCGCGGGACTGCGCTGCACGGTTTGTGGCTGTATTCACGGCGCTGGGTGCTTGCGCCGCCGTGCTGAGTGAACCCATGTCGGCGCCGGGTCTGTCCGCCTGTGGCGGGTGCCTATGGGGCGGCGCCGGGTGGCGGGGCAGTGGTGGTGGTCGCAGCGCCGTACGTGGCCCTGGCTCGGAGTGGTGCGCCCGGGCGCGTGCACGCCGGCGGCCCCGGGCGTGGTGGGCGGCAGGGGGGGGCTCTGTTTCCCCCGCGCTGCTGGCGGCCGTGGTCCCGGGGGGTGTGCGTTCCCCTTCCCTTCTTTGCAGCGAGTGTTTTTTCCCTGGTGCCGCTCCTCTTCCTAGAGCGGCGAGTTGATAACGGTAGCAACGGCTTCGGGGAGTGCAGTCGGGGGAGGGGGGAAAGCTGTTTGTCTTTTTTCCTCGTTACTCCAACCACCCCCTCTCTGAAATGTGCCTGTTTGCAGCTGTTTTCTCCCTCTCCTATGTTTTGTCTTTTCTTAAGCAGACCCTGTGATTAAGTTGTTAAGTTCCTTCTGCTGATCTCTCTGGGTGAGCCCGGCCCCTCCTTCCCCTCCTTTGTCCTTCGGCAAGGGGGGGGCAAAAGACAGAAAAAAGGGAAAAGGAAAAGCAGCTTAAAATTAACAATACCCCAACTTATAAATCAAATAAGATTGCATTGTTTTTACAGCAATAGGTGTTACGCATGCAGCGTGTTCATAGCGTTCTCAAATGTTTTCTCCAAAAACAGAAAGGGAGACTGACGAAAAATCCTTTCAAGCAAGATTAGAAATAACGCAACATCCGTGCTTAGCTTTTTGCATATTGCAGAAGGTTGTTAGGAATCTCCTATAGTTCCCCATTTCGCTTCTCCTACATGAAATTTGGCTGTTTCCCCCGGGGGAGGGGTGCGGGTAGAAGGTTTGCAGATGGAAGGATGAGACGAAGGGGGGTAGTTTTGCCCTCTGCAGAAGTAGTTTTATTGCCTTTATGACAGAATATCATTGCTCTATGAGAAGGGTTAAAGATTTCCAAGATAATATCCTGTTCTTTCTTGCTGTATTTGTCTTTTACATGAAGAGTTATGCAGGATTTGCAGATTGTTGATGGCGGCTATGCCATAAATTTCCTTTGAATTATGAAACTGATAAGAAGTGCACAGCCAATGACTACTTGAAAATGTGTGTGTGAATGATGGATGTCTGAGGTGGCCACCTAAGAGTGTATGTAAAAAGATTGTGTGAAAGAGAAAAACTACATGAATGTGTAACTGTGTAAACTTAAAAATACTTTCCGTCGGTGTCGAGATTTTAAGAAGGTATTAGTGTGATAGGCAATAAAGACTAAAGAAGAGATAATTTGCTTATCAACATATATTTGCAACACTGTAACTACGAACTGTGATATACATATTGATTGTATCATATACATGTACATTCTGCGGGTTTTTGCTAAGTGTTTTATATATGGGTTTTCTTTCAGTTAAAGCTAAGAGAGTTATCTCTACAGCCAGTCATAGTTCATGTATTCTTGGACGAACAGGCACCTAAAGATTTAAAGTTCTACTATATTTACAGCCAAAGCTAAAAGGGTTATCTCTACAGCCAGTCCTAATTCATGTATTCTTGGACTAACAGGCGCCTGGGGATTTGAGGTTTCGCTATATTTCATTCTTAGGATAGTGGGGAAGTTTTGGACCTCTTGACCTTGTGAGGGTCTGTTTTGTTTCTTTGTGGGGATGTAGTTGAGTTTTATAATCCATTTTTTTAGTTTCACAATCACGATTATTTATATATATATATCACACAAACCATAGTGTTATGTTACAATAATTAGTGATATTTTGTTATGTTACCTGTAGATTTTAGAAATATATATATAAAATGATACTTAAAGCAATATGAGAGGGAACTAATTACGTCAAGAAAAGGACTCGCAAAGAAAACAGAACTATTTCCCAGCGGCAAGCTAGCACATGCGCAGAAGCAGCTGACCACATCAAAAGGATGAAGTGAAGCTAGCCGAGCTTGTCTCCTAGCAACAAGATAACGCATGCGTATAGCTTCTCGGCAACAGAACAGAACCGGCGCAGAGAGACCTGATGACGTAAAACAGAGGAATCAAACAAAAGGAGGGGACTTTGAAAAAGATAAGCAGCTACAAACCTATAAAAGGCAGATTGAAAATTATTGAGGCATGCCTTGGATGAGCAAGGAAGGCTCATCAAGTCACCCAGCGCTGTTTTGCTTATTTGATTTAATATAAATCTTTAATAAAATTTTTTTTTACGATAATTAAACTTAGTGCGGCTTTTACTTATAACATTAGGACTGAGGTTAAATAAGAAATTCTTTCAAAAATTTGGTATTCTATTACAGCCTTGTATGAAGATTGTGAAATTTGAATCTCAGGTGGAGTTTTTCCACTAATATTGTTCCTTAGCTGTGTGAGCTGCGCAGGAGACCACTAGTTTTGGAGCGAGTAAAAACCATAAGCCAGCAAACATTAATGCAGACTGCAGGGTTAGCAGAGCCCGGAGCAAGGTGCACCACTATGTGTCCAGGTGCCTGGGAACCATTCTTACAATTCGTGGAAAAGCTGCAAGACGCTGTAGAGAAACAGGTTTTTTGACACTCAGTTACAGAAGCTGCTAGTTACATAACTAGCTAGAGATAAGACCAATACAGACTGTCAAAAAGTACTATCCTTGGTGCGGTGATGCAGACTTGTGCCGGGGTGGGGTCCTTAGACCATCAAATAATTACATTTGCATCTGCTATAGCAGTAGTGAGGGTCGTTTGAGCTTTTCTGTGTTTTCCAAGATTTAAATCAGGAGTTGTCTATGTTACTGCCTTGCTTGTTCAGCTCGTGGCAGGGGGGGCCCTTGCAGACTGTCAAGGCCATCCTGCGTGCCTTCTCAAGGGCATCTGGAGCATTGTGGATAGTGTGTCTTCAGGCCTCCTGGCTGGAGGCCAGAGCAGACCAGTTATGTTGATCAGTGTGACCAGAGCTGAAGTGTTGTTTTAAAGAGTCCTTATATATTGTCTTCAAAACCCCTCCCGTGCAACAACTGGTAGCAATATTCATTGTAAAATGGCTAGTCTCTCCTCCTTAAAACATGCCCTACCCATTGCAGCTGTGTTCTCAGCAAAATAGCCTCACTACTTGTGACTACTGCTTGTTTCCTACCAGACCTATTGCTTGCATAATTTGACTAGTGAATGTTTAGGGTTGTACCAAGGCAACCTGTACTCTTTGTGATGCTCAAAGCTTGCTGTTAATTGTCCAAACAAACAAACAAACTTCTGTAGTCATTCTGTAGTTATTCCAAGGGTTAGGGTTGTGATGCTGATTACATCGAACCATCTCAGAATCCTTTAATTACCCCTGTCTTTGTGATAAAGAAAAGATCTGTGAAATGAAAACTGTTGCATGGTCTCAGATGGCTTGGTGCAGTCATGGTTAGTAAGCATTGGCTTACTGACCCCTTCTATGCGTCCTACTGAATAGCCCGTTGTTATTATTGATTTGACAGGTTATTTTTTCACAATCCGCTTAGACCCCAGTGACAGAGAAAAAATTTGCATTTTCAGTTCCATCTATTATTCGTGCAGAACCTTACGAGTGTTATCCATAGAAAACCTTCTCCCCTGGAATGAAAAACTTTTCTATAATTTGTCAGTGGTTTGTGATTCCAATGTTATCTCCTGTACTAATGCAATTTTCTGACTGTCTTTTGTTGTCATTATATAGATCATATTTCTGCTGGCTGTAGCCACTGAGGATCAACTGGGTGTGCTGGATGCTGAAACCAAAAAGAGTCTACAATTCTTTGGCCTAGTAGTTGCTCCTGACACGGTGCAGTGAGGTACCCTGGAAATATTTAGGGTTCACGTACACAAAAAGCAGTCATTCCTCAACCAGTTCAATTGGATATTAATGTTAAAACTCTTACTGACATACAGTAGCTATTAAGATCTTTAAATTAGATTGCATCGTACTTGCAATTGCCAAACACCCAACTGGCACCTCTATTTCACCTGCTCAAACATTCTGACAATTTTCAAGAACTGAGGGAACAGACTGAGAGAACTGACTAACAGAGCAGTTTGGACCATCCAACAAGTAGAGCAAGCTTGACATTCTAAATTTGTTTCACACATTGATCATTGTCAAATTGTCTAATTTTTCATTTTTGCATATCACAGAGTTCCATTTGTCAAAAACCTGCTCCTGGATTGTTTGAGCTCATAACTCAAATCGCCATTAAGGCTAGAGAAAGATGTGTACAGTGTACTGGCAGAGATCCAGTTTGCATTGTTGTACCTGTACACTCTCATTACTTTGAGTAGTGTGAAATGCAAACTGCTTTAACTGAGTTCCACGGCCAAATTCCTTATCATTCCTTAGTCCATAAAAGGAGTGCAATGTCTGGATCACCTTAATGAAGGCCTTGAACCAAACCACCTTTTGTGCCTTCCTTGCATGGCTCGAGCAGCTTTTTCATAGCTGTCTGGTAGGAGTTCTGTTAAATGGCAGTGAGGCCAGCCTTATAGTGGCCAGCCTCAGACCCTTGACAAAGTTGTTTTGTAAAGTTATGCGGCAAAGTGTAAGGCAATTGGGATTTGTTGCAAGAACAACCTAGAATATTTAAAAAAAAAAAAAAAAAAAAAAACCTCAAGATGGCCTTACAGTCTTGAGAAGACAAGTAAAGCTGCGGTTGAGCTGTAACCCTTGCTTTTCAGATCAACCTTTGAATGTTATTGCTGATTCTGCATATGTTACAGTGACTTGATCCGGTGATGTTGTATTGTCCATTTCCAAGTTTTATTTTTCAAGCGTTGTTTGTACTCTAAAGAACTCCTTTGCAGAGGCTTGTTTCAGCAGGTTTCCTATGCT